ATAGCTATGGATTAGATTATTTTTTATTAGCTAGTACCTTTTTTGTTATTCTAACAATTGACTAGATACCTCCTTAAGGTCAAATCCAAAATTCTGAACTATGGCTACTGACAGGGTTTCGTTTGCACCCAGATCATCTTTAGCATCTCTAGATGGATACGTAATAGTACCAAGTTTTACACCTTTATCTTGCTGGTGTAACCCCTTGAATGAACACATGACCAAAATAGGGATGCTAGCAATAGTTAGTGTGGTTCTTATGCTTTATTTTTCTCAAAATTGCTGTATGATACTGAGAGTTGCTTTGTTTGACAGGCACACAGGGTAGGAAGAGATGTCATGACAAAAGGAATAGTTAATTCTTTTGCACATATGTAAGTTGATTTTATTTAGGTAAAATGTTGTTAAATAAGTACTAGTAAGTTTACTTTTTCAAGATAATAAATTGTCTGCAAGGATGAACTATTAGAAAAATAACTGCTAAAAGATTTTATTATTTATTTTAAATAAAATAAGCAACAAACCAGGCACACACTTTGCAGGACAGATTGCCATGACGTTGGTACACTTCAACAGCTTCATCAATTTCTTCACTGTCCACACTGCAGTCACTGGGGAGTGGGCTAGTGGAGCACCAAAATGAAATTTTGAAAAATAATCCGGTCTATTTTGGACTGGATAGATAGGTGGATACTTACCACAGCACAATCAACATAAGATCTAGAAAGAGAAATAAAAAGAAAATTCTTTGTACTTACAATATTAGTACAAAGGCCTATGGAAATTCTAGTTGTTCTCTCTATAACTACACAATGGCAAGCATTCTGTTATGAAACAGCTAAGTTGAGTCAAAGAATGACATTTGGAAGTTGAAGAAGTCCTGCCAACTGACCTAGATAGTGTCATGGTGTAATGATTGGCACTACCAAAGTTCCTTAATGGAGGACATTGCTGAGATCTCACTGGAAACGGTCCTGTCAAGTGTGATGAATACTAATAAGGCCTTTAAATGGCACAGTTTTCTGTTCAGGATACATATCTTCCATGCTAAGAAGAAACTGGTTCTGTTTATCCATTTATTGTTATTATCATTATTTCTTTAGATATAAGGATTAGTAACATGCTTTTTACTTTAAATTCCAGATTAGTGGTGGTTGCTTTCTGAAAATTCCTGAGAACATTTTGAGACTACTTGGACAAGTGGCAGACATTCTATGATAACTAAGGCTTGCTGAGAGCCAAAAGAGCCTATTTTTCCAAAACGTGTTGCAAACTTTCAGGCTTACTACAAGCGAGCCCCATTCTGTGACAATCGGTAGGACTGAAGACATTCTGTAATCCTACTAATGTCAACCTGCTTGTGGTTCAACAGAAGTCTGTGCTTCTGATTTTACCTGTTTAGTCCTGGGAATGTTGGGATTTATTTCCCGTAAAACCAAATCTATGGTTTCATGCATCAAGACCAGAGACCTTGGAACTTCCGTACTGAAAGCCACTTTCTTCCAGAAACCAATTTAATTGCCATTTCCTCAGGAAATAAGCTCTCGTATTTGACACCTCTGTCAAATACACATAGCAGAGTTGAGAGGATTAGTCTATTGTTTTCAGTGCAAAAGTTCAGCCTATTAGATCACCTGTATAATTGATGGTTTGGTGAGAATTGCTATATTGTTTAGCCTGAACTATCCTTATATTGAATATTGAAGGAAAGTGTGAGATACATAATTTAAAGAAGCACATCTGTTGTAGTTTAAGTGTGTCCCCTTTAAAATTCAGGCAGGGCTCCACTCATGAATGGGGTTAAGGCCCTTGTAAAAAATGCTTCACACAGTTTTTAGCCTCTTGCCCTTCCACCTTCTACCATATGAGTACACAGCGTTCATCACCTCTGGAGGATGCAAGGCGCCATTTTGGAAGTGGAGACCGTGCCCTTTGCCAGACATTGAACCTGCTGGTGCCTTAATCTTGGACTTCTCAGCCTCCATGTGTTCTTTATAAATTACTAGGTCTACCGTATTTTATCACAGCACAAATGAACTAAGACAACATCTTTGTTACTCATAAATGTACAAAACATACAGAATTTGGTTCATTGCCATTGGCCATCTTTTTAAATATAAATTTGTATGATTTATAAATAGTGTGTCAAATTTATATAAACAAATTTTGAAAGTTTCTCTTTAACTGTATTTTAGTTGATGTAGAATTACTTATTTTTGCCTCCGCTTTTATCCTGTAATAAGGTGAACCTTAGCTTCCTTTCCTAGATTACCACATCACAATTAGTTAATTAGTAAATTATGATTCCCTATTATCAAATTAAATGTGATATTCTCCTGGTTGCAATCGCACAACTGTCAATAGTACTGAATTATCACTGTAGTGTAGGAACACTCTTTATTCTCAAATCCAGGGACAATAGCGACTTCTACCCAACCTCTCCAAGAAATCTTTAACTTCCCATGTTAACAGAAATATATTTTTCCAAAGTAAACGAGACCCTATATTTATTCTATTCTGAAATGATCAAACTCGCACTACTTCGTGGTAAGAAATTGGAAATGATGATTGAGAGTAATAGAATGGAGTTAGGAATGTTGAGACTGTTTTTATCTTTAATAAGAAGATTTGTGTGGGAGCTATGGATGTCCTTATGTAACATAAATGCAAATTGTGTCATTTCCAGAGGAGAGTAACCATGGTGATGAGGGGAATCCTTTGAAGGAACTAGAATTGCTACACAGTATCTACCCCAAAGTCTATAAAATGTTGCCATTCATTAAAAGAAGTAGTCTTACTGATTTGCACAGCCATGAATTAAAGGGATAAAATAATTTTAGAATAAGGGATATAATTCTCTTTAGAAATTGAATGTGAGGTAGTATAGTACAACAGTAGAGCTTGAGGGGTTTGGAATCACATATATAATAACTTGGTTCAATAGAGTTGATAGAACAACTCTGCTTTAAAATAATTAATATTTTATGTGAAGAGTGTTCAATCTCTTACTCCTGGTTCCCATTAGGATTTCCTCATTTGATTGAGGCTATGGCCCTTTACTATTCCACTTCTCTTGTTTTATCACAAGGGAAGATATAAGAAGACTTTGCGGGTCAGACGCGGTGATTTACGCCTGTAATCCTAGCACTTTGGGAGGCTGAGTTACTATTTACTAGCCTTGCACCCTTGCAAAAGTTGTTTAATCTCCATCATTTTATTCTTCCACTTGTAGGGATGAAAAGGGTATTTCCCTCACTCAGCTAATGTGAGAACTGAATAAAAATATGATGTATGGAAAGCTCTTGGTACAATTCTGAGTACAAAGCAAAACACTCAAAAATTGCTCAAGAAATTTTCGTCATTTTTATTGTACCATGGTGAGTATCCCATTCCTAGAAACACTAAGGCACATAAGGAATGAGTGCCTGTCATAACTGTGGTAGGGTGTGAATTAATGCAGAACTTTATCTGTATAGTTGCACTCTGAAGTCCATTCTGAATCTTAGATGCTACATTTATATAAATATAAAGCATAATAACTATCTGAATGTAGAATTATATGTTTAAAATTACATTATTACATCAACTGATGTAATTCATAGATTTTCCCTAGGGTTCTGTTTCCTGAACATTCTGTAATGTGTTAGTTAGCAAAGTCTTTTTTTTTTCTTTTTTTTTTTTGAAACTGAGTCTCGCTCTATTGACCAGACTGGAGTGCAGTGGCGTGCTCCTGACTCACTGCAACCTCCGCCTCCTGGGAATCAAGCAATTCTCGTGCCTCAGCCTCCCGAGTAGCTGGGATTACAGGCATGCACTACCATGCCCAGCTGATTTTTGTATTTTTTTAAGTAGAGATGAGGTTTCACCATGTTGGCCAGGCTGGTCTCTAACTCCTGACCTCAAGTGATCCGCCCACCTCGGCCTCCCAAAGTGCTGGGATTACAGGCATGACCCACTGCGTCTTGACAGCAAAGTCTTCTTATATATTCCCTTATGATAAAACAACAGAAGTGGAATAGTAAAGGGCCATAGCCTCAATCAAATGAGGAAATCCTAATGGGAACCAGGAATGAGGGATTGAACACTTTTCACATCAAATATTAATTATTTTAAAACAGAGTTGTTCTGTCAACAGCTGACGTTGAGTCCCTGATCGATCTCTCAGCCCCCTGAATACTTGGATTGCACAGTTGACCTTATCACATTGTTAGGGTAAGTGCTATACAAAGGCACCTTCAGACCCTCCATTGCACATAGGTGGCCCCCGTTAGCCCCTTGCCTATGTGTGTTCTGGAGGTGCCACTAAACTTGGGGACAGCATCAAGAGACAAACTTGAGAAAACCCTTTTTAATCAGATTAAATTATTAACTAACTTTCAATTTCCTTTAACTTATTAGAGACATCTCTACCTGTAAATAGGTACAGATTACACTCGCCAGTCAACAGCTGTCATTCTGTCATATCATCAGATACCCGGGGCTGCTGCTCCTTGAGGCGTCCACAGAATCACAGCATTTTCCAGTATTGAAAGACCTGAAAGATCGCAGTGCCTTCATTTCAACTGTGAGACATGAAGTAATTTTCTCAAATCTACAACATTAAGATATGGTGCAATAAGGACCAGATGAAAGGTCTCCTGATTTGCAACCATGTTCCCTCTATCTTCTTTATTCCTAAACACAGTCACACACTCACTCCTGCAAATACTTCTGTTGTCAAGTGGGAAATGAATGCTCTTACAAGGCTCCAACTTGTGAATACATCACTGACCAGCACAGAGCTGGCTAAAAATAGCGCCTCAATTAAAGTGTTTTACACGCAACTGCTTCAAATCTTTCAGGTACTAAATTAAAACAATCCTTTAAAGAAGGAAATTCTGTTTCAGAAGGGGACCTTCGTACAGCATCTCTGACCAGCGACTGATGATGCTATTGAACTCAGATGCTGATTGGTTCTCCCACACGAGCTTACCCAATCCAGGAGCAAGGAAATCAGTAAGTTCTTCCCTATAATTTGGAATGTGGGAGGAGGGGGGATCATAGTTCTCCCTGAGTGAGACTTGCCTGCTCCTCTGGACCCTGGTCCTGTCCTGGTCTCCAGCATGGTGTGTCTGAAGCTCCCTGGAGGCTCCTGCATGGCAGCTCTCACAGTGACACTGATGGTGCTGAGCTCCCCACTGGCTTTGACTGGGGACACCCAACGTAAGTGCACATTGTGGGTGCTGAGCTACTATAGGGTGGGGAAAATAGGGAGTTTTGTTAACAATGTGCCCAGGCCGTGTCCCTTAAGAAATTGTGACGTTTTCTTCAGAGATTGCCCATCTTTATCATGGGATCCCAAATTATTTCCACCACAAAAGGAACTTGGCTACTTGCCCTCTCCATGAGACTGTGTAAGGGGCCTCTGTACAGGTCATTTCTTCTCAAATCTCCACCAATAAAACCTTTGCATCACATTTCCTCAGGGTCCTTAGAGGATTTAGAAATAAAGATGCTACAATAAATTCCCCATATGGCACTTCCCTTTATTATGTTGACTTATGTCAGACAAAATGAGGTTCTTACTGAAAATTTTGTGGGAGTCAAGGGAATTCAAAGGAACTCTCCTACACGATCCTGGGTTATGTCCTCCACAGGACCTGTGGTGTTGGCCCCTCTTCTTCATATGTGAGGATGGACCCAGTGGCCTCTTCATTATCTCCTTTCTTTTTTTTTTTCTGAACTCCAATGTTTATAAAGCCTATATTCCTGTAGTGTATGTAGCTTCTCTGACAGAAGTTATACTTAGTGCTCTTTCTTTCTGATGGGGAAAAATCCCTGGAACTGAAGCTGAGATCTTTTAGTACTTGGAGTCACCTTACAGATACAGAGCATTTATGGGTATTCTTTGGTGCCTAAAGAACTTAAGGCATCCTCTGAAAAACTGGCCCAGGTTAGTGTTTATTATGAATCTTTTTTAACCTTTCTATGCTTGTTTCTCCTACATCTCCGACATACTCTAACTAGACATGACAGAAGAGATTTAACTAATGTAGTATAAATTATATGAAATTCTATTTTTGTAAGTCAAAAATAATGAAATGTGAGAAATTTCCTAAGGTTCAAACTATATACTCTGAGTGGAGTTACCGAGACAATGCGGACATTGTCCACATCTCATAGGGCTGAAAGTCAATGAGCAAAGTCCTGGGAACTCATTGTCTTACTGGGGTCTTGTACTAAATTTCATAGGTTCACCCACCATGCCCTCAGCTTTTCTTAATTAGCCGTGTGTACTTACCTCTTCCTCCAGTTTCTCTCTATTTTTGCCCATTTATGTTGTCATCATTTCCAGAAATCTCTAAAGCTTGCACAGATCTGTAACACTATGAGATCCATTGAAAGAGATAACTTTTTTCTTTTTGAGATAGGGCCTGGCTCTGTCACCCAGGCTGAAGCTCAGTGATGCGATCGAGGCTCACTGCAACCTCTGCCTCCCACACTCAAGCAATCCTCCCTCCTCAGGCTCCAGAGTAGCTGGGAATACAGGCAGGCAACCATGCCCAGCTAATTTTTGTAATTTTGGTAGAGATGAGGTTTTGCCATGTTGCCCAGGTTGGTCTTAAACTGCTGGACTCAAGCATTCCTCCTGCCTTGGCCTCCCAACATGCTAGGATTATAGATGTCAGCCACTGTGCCCAGGCAAAAAGAGATGACTCTTAATTAAAAAATTTCTTTTTTCTTAAATCACTGTTTCTTTAACTGTGAATTCTTCTTCCAACTAGAAGAAGGGGAAAGAAGAAGTTTGCCTGTATTTCTCACCGGGAGGAGAAGGGGTCTAGTGTGACATCAAAATGAAAGAGTACTGGAGCTTGAGCCCCTTCTTGCTTTCCAGGATGCCCATGGTGATCAGTTCCCATACCCTGGTTTATTCATGTAAACCACGCTTCTTTTTCTCAGCAGCTACTGTGTACTGGGCTCCATTCTAGGTTCAAATCATTCTGCTTGATTAAGATAGAGAGGGTCCCTACTCTCACAGAAGTTACACAAGCGTAGAGGAGATGGACACTAACCCAATAAGCATTTAACAAAGAAGAAGATGTTAGAGAGTCACAGTGCACTGAAGAAAAGACATCAGGTTTGTGGAAAGAGAGAAATGGATTCACCTACTTTAGTTCATATGTTTAGGGAGCTCTACATGAGAAAGTGACACTCAGCTGAGACAACAAAATAAGAAGACAGTTGTGAAGATCTAATGGACGAAAGTTCTAGGGAGACCGAATCCGGGGAAAGCCCAGGTGTAGGAAATTATATGGAGGGAGAGAAAGAAGGTTAGAGGGGCTGATGTATAGAAAGCAAGAAAATGGAGGGGCAGAAGATGAGTTAGGACACAGAGAGGAAGCCAGGAGCCTCATTATATTAGGCTCTGATGTCCACGGTAAAAAAATTGAGTTTTATTTTATATTTATTTATTTATTTATTTTTATTTATTTATTTATTTATTTTTTGAGATGGCGTTTCGTTCTTGTTGTCCAGGTTGGAGTACAATGGTGCAGTCTTGGCTCACTGCAACCTCTGCCTCCCGGGCTAAAGTGATTCTCCTGCCTCAGCTTCCCAAGTAGCTGGGATTACAGGCACCCACCACCATACCTGGCTATTTTTTGTATTTTTAGTAGAGATGGGGTATCACCATGTTGACCAGGTTGGTGTTGAACTCCTGACCTCAGATAATCTGTCTGCCTTGACCTCCCAAAGTGCTGGGATTACAGGCGTGAGCCACCATGCCCGGACTGAATTTTATTTAAATAGATAAGTTACTGTATGGTTACAGGGAGAGTTAATTTATATTAACTTTTGTTTGTTTGTTTGTTTGTTTGTGATGGAGTCTCGCTCTGTTGCCCAGGCTAGATTGCAGTGGCACAATCTCGGCTTACTGCAACCTCTACCTCCTGGGTTCAAGTGATTCTCTGACATTAGCCTCCCAAGTAACTGGGACCACAGGTGCAGGCCACCACACCTAGGTAATTTTTTGTATTTTTAGTAGGGATGGGATTTCACCGTGTTAGCCAGGATGGTCTCCATCTCCTGACCTCGTGATTCACCGGCCTTGGCCTCCCAAAGTCCTGGGATTACAGGCATGAGGCACTCTGCTCGGCCTATATTCAATTTTTAAAACTAATTCTAGCGACTCTGTGGGGATTGGATTGTTGGGGTTCACAAGTGGTTAGGAAGACTATTTAGGAGCACAGCAGGGAATTCTCCAGGGAAAACAGGCTTGTGTCTTCATGGAGTGCGTTACTGATAAAGACGGTTAAAACGATAAAGTGGACAGACTTGGCATGTATTTTTGCTTAGCTTGTTAATAAATTACTGTAAAGGGGGTGGAACAACCAAGTTTATTCCTAAGGATTTTGTTTTCACAAATAAGTGGGTGGTAGTGTTGTTTATTGAGATAAGAAAAATTATGGGAGGAAATGATTTGATATGGGTGGTTGGAAATAAAAGTTTTGTTTAAATTTGAGATGATTGATTGACATTTATTGGAGCAATCAGAAGGTCAATGGCATTTAAGAGACTCATGGTAGGCTAGGGCTTCAGATATTTATCTTGGCTCCATCAATACGTGTACTGCATTAAATCCCAGGGATTAGAAGAGGTTACACAGGGAGATGGATTGTGGGGAGAAAAAAGAAGAGGGCACAGGCCAGCAAAGGGGGCTGAAAGAGTCCAGGGATGTTGGAGAAAAATCAAGAGAACATAATGCGTGTAAGTCAAGGAAAATAGATTTTTGTTCAAGGAGAAGGGAGAGGTCAATTGTGGTGAGTACCGCTAAGAGGAGGGGGAAGTGAGAATGTGACAGAGAAGCAAGTGCTTGGTTTGGTGGAGTTGATATTTGCAGTCAATGGAGAATCCAGGGAGGAAACTGGATTGGACCATTTGAAAAGTGAGTAGAAGTGAGGACGAGGTCATGTGTTGAAGACCACAAGGAAGTATTAAATCACTCCTTCTTCTGAGGTTTGACTAGCAAGGTGGGCTAGAGTTACCAAATAAAATACAGGCTCCTAGTTAAATCTGAATTTCAAATACACAACCATAATTTATTGGAAATCCAAATTTAAGTGGGCATCCTCTGGTTTTATTTGCCAAATCTGTCAACCCTAAGTGGGACACATGGACGTGGATTACAGTGCTAACCATACAAGCCACGGGGACAGCAACTCCACACGTTTATTTTTTAGCTTTCTCTCTATAAAGAAAGTGCTTAGACCATTTAGGGATAAAAAGATAGGCATTGTTTGAAACAGGCTCCACACCTCTCTGCCATCGTTTCTAAAGGGCAAAGGGAGATTTCCGCAGGTCTTGCTCACAGTCTGGGGACCTGCTCATTTTTTGAAACTGTCTGTATAAGAATGTCATTTTCTTGGTTTTGCCCTTTCTGAAGGGACTTGACTACAAAGCCGAGAGTTCTGCCTCTGGCCAAGGCTGGTAATTTGATGCCTGCTAGTATTGTTGGGAGTGGGAGACTGAAAGACATGAGTTAGTTGGGACATTAAGTGGGAATAAAATAGCTGTGGTTGTGATTCATTACTACAGATAATTAGTGGACCAGTGGTAGAGAAATTAAGAAAAAATATGATATGAATGATAAATGATATGATTAGTGACTGCTTGGTAAGGCAAGGAAATCATTAAATCTTGGTTCTCATCAAGTTCATTTTCTGGAAAGATAGCACTGTATTGGGACCAGAATTCTACAAAATATTCTTTTTAGGTAGGACCCAGATTGTCAACAAATGTTTTTCAATGCAATTCTCAGCTGCTCCATAACTAATAGTACCTTGTTGAACACAGATTTTTTCAGATGGTTCACACTTGTGGTTCTTACCCAGGGATAGTTAACCACCCCTCCCTTCCCTCCCACCATCCTTGGGGGTGGCAATGTTTGGAACAATTTTTGGTTGTCACAACAGGGGTTTCTTCTGATATTTAATGAGTGGAAGCCAGGGACACTGCTAGAGAACCTACAGTGTTCAGAACAGCCTCTGCCATCAACAAAGAATTATCTGGTCCAAAATGTCAATAGTGCTGAGGCTGAGAGCACTGGTTCACACTGTGCTCTTTCTGAAAATTCTAGACTCGCATCTGTTTTACAGTCAACACACAGTTCAGTTTCTGATGGTTTATTTTTGCTTGTTTCATTATAAAAAATTAAACAGTTGCATAAATTCAACCACTTTCTTCTTGAATCCATTTAGTCAATGCAAGCTCAATAGTTTAGTATTTAGTTTTTGCCTTATGCAATATTTTTCAACATTTTCATGAGTTGTTGGTCATCACTATCTCTATTAACTTTCAACAACTTGCCTTTGTAAGTCATAAATAGTGATGCTGCTAAAGTTATTTCTCACTAACATGCCTCAGATTTCTGTAGTGATTCTACATTTAATATTATTCACAATGTAAAATGTTTCTACTTATTCATTTCACTTTTACCCACGGGATTATTTTAAAGTTATTTTTGTCATTTTCACACTTCAGACATAAAGACAAAAGCATCAAAAATATATACAGTGTTTTATATATGTGTATATTTTCACACATATATGTACGTATGTTTATATGTATTGAAACTACAGAAGCACTTGTAACCAATAAGAGCTCTGAGACATCTTTGACCACTTACCCTCATCAGATGAGATTTGCTAAATGAGTTGCGGAGACAAGTTTTTTTAACTGAATTTCTGAGCTTTGTGGATTTAGAAATGCAAAGGAAGATTTGTAGACATTTACCGGGATCATGGTTTTATTCTCCTTAAAACTCTTTGATGCTTTCCCATTGTCTTTAGTATAAATCCAAAATCCTACCACCACCCAGGAGGCTTTTAAATACCTGGCTTCTTGAGATTTCTCCTGTCTAATCTGTTACCCTTCTTTCCCTCAGCCTCTCTGCTTTAGTGAGCGTTGTTCTAGTTTCTTGAAGAAGTTCATCAATTCAAGTTTTTGTACATGGGATTTCCTAAACCTGAAATGTGTCTCCACCGTTTTGTCCAAACGCACACACAGGCTCCACTCTGCCCCCTCGCTCACACCGGCTTAACCTGTCAAGTCCCATCTGAACTGTCATTCTTCAGAGGGTCCTTGTCGGGCACCCTAATGTAATTGAGATCATCCTATTATTCTCTGCTCTAGAACTCCCCACTTCTGACATTTCTCATTCCTGTCTAAGCTCTTGTGTGTTTGGTTTTTGTCCATGACTTTCACTGCTCTTTAAGCTCCCCAGCAGAGTGGAGAGGTCTGTTTTCCCTTATTTGGATTCCTAGAGGCAGCGCAGGCCAGGCACAAGGTCATCACTAAGGAAGTGTTCACAGGGTGATCGCGGTGGGTGCTGTTGAAGGAACCAGTAAAGCCTGTGGGATGAGAGAAGGATCAGAGTGTCTTTGGGGTGGAGGCTCCCAGGAGTAGACGGCGCGGGCTGCGATGCTGGGCGGATCCTCCTCCAGCTCCTGCATTGAGTTCTCCAGAACAGGCTGGAGGCAGGGAGGGGTTTCCAAAAGACTGGGGATCAGAAGGGGTTTTCCCGCCTGGTCTCCCAGGCCCCCGTTCGCCTCAGGAAGATGGAGGATGAGCCCCTGGGCTGCTGGTGGTGGGCAGTGCGGATGGGGCCGGTTAAGGTGCCCAGTGCCCGCGCCCCGCCCAGGGAGCCCCGGATGGCGGCGTCGCTGTCAGTGTCTTCTCAGGAGGCCGCCCGTGTGACCGGATCCTTCGTGTCCCCACAGCACGTTTCTTGGAGCAGGCTAAGTCTGAGTGTCACTTCTTCGACGGGACGGAGCAGGTGCGGTTCCTGCAGAGATACTTCTATAACCAGGAGGAGTTCGTGCGCTTCGACAGCGACCTGGGGGAGTTCCGGGCGGTGACGGAGCTGGGGCGGCCTGACGCCGTGTACTGGAACAGCCAGAAGGACATCCTGGAGCGGGAGCGGGCTGCGGTGGACACCTTCTGCAGACACAACTACGGGGGTGTGGAGAGCTTCACAGTGCAGCGGCGAGGTGAGCGCGGCGGGGGCGGGTCCTGGGTCCCTGTGAGCTGGGAATCTGTGTGTGCGTGTGTGTGTGAGAGAGAGAGAGAGAGAGAGAGAGAGAGCGAGCGCGCCATCTGTGAGCATTTAGAATCCTCTCAATCCCGAGCAAGCAGTTCTGAGGGCACAGGTGTGTGTAGAGTGTGGATTTGTCTGTGTGGCTGTTGTGGGAAGGGAGGCAGGAGGGGGCTGCTTCTTATCCTTGGAGGCCTCTGTGGGGAGATGACTTGGTAGGTGGGTGCAGGGGGCTGGAGAGAGAGGAGACCTTGATTGTCTTGGGTCCTTAGAGATGCAGGGAAGGGAAATGTAAGGAGTATGTGGTTGGGGTGAAGGTTTAGGGGAGGAGAGCTGAGGGGTCTGGAAGGTTTGGGATAATGTGAGGAGGCCAGTTCCAGACTGTCCCTGGCACACACCCTTCATGTAATCTCTGAAATAAAAGTGTGTGCTGTTTGTTCGTAAAAGCATTAGGTTAATTTCTAGGGGAATTGAGGAGACCTCTGAGGCACCTCTGAAGCTTCTTTAGGTCTAAATTTCTTCCTAGTTTTTTGTTTTTGTTTTTAGTGTGTATGTTTTTACATAGTAGAAATGACTGTGAAACTAACTTTTTGAATTAAAATTTTCACACAGTTACTATTTTGTTATAATGCTAATAGTTTTCTAGTAGTTACATGTTATTCTTTCATATGTAATAGTTGTGACACAACTCACCTCACTTTCTCCTTTGTTGATCTTTATTATGACATTCTCCAAAAGTTGAAAATGTATGTTTCTGGTTAATTTTTAATTTATATTTTTTCATTTGTAGTTCTTTTGAATTATTTTGACCTATTTATTGACCAATTATACTTACCGCTCTAAGAATTCCCTATTGTATTTGGTAGGGAACGGACAATGATCTACTGTCTAATATCTCAAGGCTTAGTATTTTTCTCAGTGATTTTGTGGGTTCTTTGTACTATAAGATTATGAACACTTTATTGATATTTGATTCAGCATTTGCTCCAGTTTATGGTTTGTATGTTGATTTTGAAAATTCTTTTCCATGTTAAGAATGTGAACATTTTTATTTAATAAAATACATTGCAAAATTTTTATTAATGATTTATAACCCATCTTAAATCTACCATTTTATGGTATTGTTGTCTCTCGGTTTCTCCTTACTTCTAAAAAAAAAATAGTTGTACGTATTGAGAGTCTGCTAGTGTCAGGGATTTTCCTGGGCATAAGCACCCCAAGTAATGAGTCTCAGACCCTGCCTTATTCCAAATGTCATTCTGGGAAAGAAAAATCATTTTACAATGATAGGCCTGAAAATAATAATGCTTGTTTTACACGGGAGATTCATTGATCAGCTAAATATAAATCTAAGAACTTTCAAAATCAAAATGATGTTCCTTAATCCTTCTCTCTGCTTTAGGACTCATGCTTTTCTAGGAATGTAAAAATTTGGAGAATCATTTTTGTCTGTCCCACCTTCCCAGGGGCAGAACCATTTCTGTGGTGTTCTAAGGTGTCAGTATGGCGGTAGTATTCCTAAAACTTCATACTCGGTTTCCTCGTGTACCCAACTCTGTCCCTTTACCTATCCACATTGCTTTAAATCGTATTTTTCTATCACGGTGTACAAGAATGAAAAATAGGTGCCAAGTGGAGCACCCATGGGTGATGAGTCCTCTCACAGTGGAATGGAGTGAGAAGCTTCTGACCTCATAAATTGAAGGCTATCTTCAGTCATCGTTTTATATATTTTATGTGCATTAATCCTCATATAACTCCAAGAGGTAAATTAGTATAATTATCCTTCATTGTAGGTGACAAAGTTGAGCACAGAAGAATCAAAAAACTCTGCCAGGATCAACCAGTAAAAGGCAGACCTTGGATTTGAACCAGGCAACCTGGTTCAGATATCAGTATTAATTACTACACTCTGTACTTTCGAAGATTTATAAACACTTTGACAATGCATCCCAATTTCAAGCTATGAAGAAACAAACATAGTTTTTCACAACTCTCTCAAATCTAATGGGTGCTAACTATCAAGATTAAATTCCACGCTGATGACACTGTGAGGCCACATGGCCAGCTGTGCTGAGGGCTGGTCAAGATCAGAGCCTGGGTTTGCAGAGAAGCAGAAAAACAGCCAAACAAGGAGACTTACTCTGTCTTCCTGACTCATTCCCTCTACCATTTTTTCTCCTAGTCCAACCTAAGGTGACTGTGTATCCTGCAAAGACCCAGCCCCTGCAGCACCACAATCTCCTGGTCTGCTCTGTGAGTGGTTTCTATCCAGGCAGCATTGAAGTCAGGTGGTTCCGGAACGGCCAGGAAGAGAAGGCTGGGGTGGTGTCCACAGGCCTGATCCAGAATGGAGACTGGACCTTCCAGACCCTGGTGATGCTGGAAACAGTTCCTCAGAGTGGAGAGGTTTACACCTGCCAAGTGGAGCACCCAAGCGTGACCAGCCCTCTCACAGTGGAATGGAGTGAGCAGCTTTCTGACTTCATACATTTCTCACCCACCAAGAAGGGGACTGTGCTAATCCCTGACTGTCAGGTTTCTTCTCTCCCACATCCTATTTTCATTTGCTCCATGTTCTCATCTCCATCAGCATAGGTCACTGGGGATAGCCCTGTAATCGTTTCTAGAAACACCTGTACCCCCTGCGGAATCAGTCATGCCTGCGAGGCAGGAGAGGCTGTCCCTGTTTAGAAACTCCCCATGATATCACAGGTCAGGGTCACCCGCTCTCCCCAGGCTCCAGGCCCTGTCTCTGGGTCTGAGACTGAGTTTCTGATGCTGTTGTTCTGAGTTATTTATTGTGATCTGGGAAGAGGAGAAGTGTAGGGGCCTTCCTGACATGAGGGGAGTCCAATCTCAGCTCTGCCTTTTATTAGCTCTGTCACTCTAGACAAACTACTTAGCCTCATTGAGTCTCAGGATTTCTGTGGATCAGATGTTGAACTCGTGCCTTACATCAAGGCTGTAATATTTGGATGAGTTTGATGTCTGAACCTTGTAACTGTTCAGTGTGATTTACAATTCTTTGTTTTTCTCCAGAAATGACTGGTTATTTTAGTTCTTACAGGGCAGCCTTCTTCCCCATTTTCAAAGCTCTGAATCTTAGAGTCTCAATTAAAGAGATTCAGTTTGGAATAAACATCACTAAAGCTGGCTTCCTCTCTCAGGAGCACGGTCTGAATCTGCACAGAGCAAGATGCTGAGTGGAGTCGGGGGCTTTGTGCTGGGCCTGCTCTTCCTTGGGGCCGGGCTGTTCATCTACTTCAGGAATCAGAAAGGTGAGGAGCCTTTGGGAGCTGGCTCTCTCCATAGGCTTTTCTGGAGGAGGAGCTATGGCTTTGCTGAGGTTAGTTCTCAGTATATGAGTGGCCCTGAACAAAGCTTTTCTTTCCCCAAACGAGTCCAATGTCCTGTTAATCCAGAAATCATCAGTGCATGGTTACTATGTCAAGGCATAATAGCTTGTGGCCTGCAGAGACAAGAGGAAGGTTAACAAGTAGGGGTCCTTTGGTTTGAGATCCTGGAGCAAATTAAGGAAGAGCCACTAAGGTAAATGCAGTTACACTGGATCCTGTGACAGACACGTCACACTTCATGGGTCACATGGTCTGTTTCTGCTCCTCTCTGCCCTGGTTGGTGTGGGTTGTGTTGTTAGAGAAATCTGTGTTGGAGGACAGATTTGCTTCCATATCTTTTAAGTGTGTATCTTTTCCTCTTTTTCCCAGGACACACTGGACTTCAGCCAACAGGTAATACCTTTTAATCCTCTTTTACAAACAGATACGGTTTCCCGAATGAGAGGTAAAGCCAGGTGGACTTCTGGGTCGGGTGGGGACTTGGAGAACTCTGTCTTACTAGAGGTTTTTAAAATGCACCAATCAATGCTCTGTAAAAACACACCAATCGGTGTTTTGTGGCTAGCTAGATATTTGTAAAACGGACCAAACATTACTCTGTAAAATGGACCAATCCACACTCTGTAAAATGGACCAATCAGCACTTTTTAAAATGGACCAATCAACACTCTTTAAAATGGACCAATCAACAGGACATGGGCGGGGACAAATAAGGGAATAAAAGCTGGTCACTCCAGCCAGCGGCGGCAGACTGCTCAGGTCTCCTTCGAAGGTGTGGAAGTTTTTTTTTTTTTTTTGCTCTTCACAATAAATCTTGCTGCTGTTCACTCTTTGAGTCGGTGTGGCTTTTAAGAGCTGTAACACTCACCATGAAGGTCCCTGGCTTCATTCTAGAAGTCAGTGAGACCACAAACCCAACTGGAGGAACAAACTCTGGACACACTAGAATGATGTTAGAGGTGATAAGGCATGAGACAGAAATAATAGGAAATACTTTGGTTCCAAATTTCTGATCAGGCAATATACACCAAAACTACTCCTCTCCACTTAGAAAAGGCCTCTGCTCTGCAGGACCGTTGGCTGTGGGAGACTCAGGAGCTTATTTTTCTTCTTCCTGCAGTGCTCTCATCTGAGTCCTTGAAAGACGGGAAAAGAAACTGTTGGTAGAAGCAGGTTGAAAACAGCACTCTCCTCTGTCTTTTGCAGGACTCCTGAGCTGAAGTGCAGGTGACCACATTCAAGGAAGAACCTTCTGCCCAGCTTTGCAGGATGAAAAGCTTTCCCGCCTGGCTGTTATTCTGCCACAAGAGAGGGCTTTCTCAGGACCTGGCTGCTACCGGTTCAGCAACTGCAGAAAATGCCCTCCCTTGTGGCTTCCTCAGCTCCTGCTCTTGGCCGGAAGTCCCCGCAATGATGGCAGCGCCTCATCTTCAACTTTTGTGCTCCCCTTTACCTAAACCCTATGGCCTCCCGTGCATCTGTATACTCACCCTGTACCACAAACACATTACATTATTAAATGTTTCTCAAAGATGGAGTTAAATATCATCTGCTCCATTTGGCTCCAAAGACAAAAAATGAAAAGAAAAAGGGAGGATTATTTCCCAGTAGAATAAAGATTTTCATGTGTATGTCATGAGTATGTGAGGTAATGCATATGTTAAATAGCATGATTTAGACATTCCACACTACAGGCATATATCAAAACCTCACGCTGTACAACATAAATATACTATACAATTTTTACTTGTCAATTAAAAAAGTAAACCTAATGGTTAAAAAAGCAATGCATAAAAACTGAGAACAGACTGTAACAACTGAAACAAACTCGGCCAACATGAGATGAGAAACCAGTCAGCAAGGCAATCAGAACTCTTTCTTCACCCTGTCTACAATATTTTGCATTTATAACTGTAAATTAGTGTATAGTGTTTCACTCCAGAGACTTCAATAATATAGTGTCATCAAAGGACTTGTACAGATTTCAGAGAAACACAGATTTAGAAGACCGAGGGTTCTCCATTATGTTCTATCTGAGAGTCAGTATGAAATGTCAAATCTAAAAGTACATAATTCAGAGGTCTATTTCAAAGTAATAATCATTTGAGCATAATTTCTCCACTGTCAGAGACGACTGTTATTTTATTTTCAATCAAAAGTTGTTTCTATGCATATCTTATTTTTAGTTGTATGTTACTTGTACATAACGTAGCAGTACAAGTACATATAAATCCTGTAAGAGTATAAATCCTATAGCAGTATATTAAGCTTATAATTATGTCTGTTCTGTTTGATCACAGAGTTGCAACAAATAGGCCTCAGGATTCCTAAGTTGAGGACATGATTTTCTCATTTTATATGAGACTTGGGGTGTGGAATTACAAAGTAGAACCAAAATGTGTGGAATGAATATTTCATTGAAGATGCGTTCTGCTGCTAATAGCAGGAAATTACATCTAGTGGGCTTTATTTTTCTTTAACCCATTATCTCACATAGCCGATAGATCCAAGGCTGGGCATCTCCAGGACTGTTCAACTCAGCAGGCTAGGGGCATCACCAGCGATCCTGGAACGTCATAGCTCATCTCTCTGTCACACACAGCACGTCAGCTTTCCTGAGATGGTAGGGTGACCCATGCAGCAGCTTTAGGTTTGTTATTCTTTCACAACAACTCCCAAAGGAAAGAAAAGGATACTCCTTTCTCCTGTGTGCCTTTATAAGGAGCAACTAAAGTGTTTCCAGAGTGTTCTCAGTACCCATTTTCTCACATGTTGGAATAACCATGTGATCATATGGGCTCAGACAAGCCAGGATTCAACCTTTACAGAGTGAGCCTGATGCACATGGGAAGAAAAGGAGCAAAATCATATATTTTTTAAAATAAAGAACTGGTGGATGGAGTAGGAGAGATTGATTTCAGGGTGGGGAAATGATAGATTGTGGTACTATCAGGTTGTAAGTATTTGAGTTAACTTCCACACGAAGGCTTATAGATTTCTGATAGCCACCCTCAATTCAGGGTTTTGGATCTCTCTCTCTATCTCTCTCTCTCTATATATATATATGTGTATACACACACACATATATACACATATATATACACGCACACATATAGAATGTATTAAATGTCAGTCATTAACTCAATTACAATAAAACAAAAAAGCAAGCAAACAAGATTGTTTTTAGAACTCAATTAAGTATGTTGACATGTTATTTTATGAGGTAAATATATTTTCCAGGGAAATTATTGAAAAAAAGTAGAATAAGGAATGACTAGCTCTGTAAGGTGTTAAAACATACTATACATTTACTTTTACAAATGCATTTGTTACTGTTCTTTTTTATTAAATATGCTAGTAAAACAGAGTCTAGAATTAGAAACAGAAAGAGTTGAGATTTAATTTCAGTTTTTGGTAAGTTGTATTCCAAACTCATTTCTTTCACTAAATAGATCCTGAATAAATAAAACTTGAAACATAAAGAGAAAATATAAAATTACCAAGACAGATGTTATTTCTTTTTTTATTATTACACTTTATGTTCTAGGGTACATGTGCACAACGTGCAGGTTTGTTACATATGTATACATGTGCCATGTTGGTGTGCTGCACCCATTAACTCGTCATTTACATTAAGTATATCTCCTAATGCTATCCCTTCCCCTTCTGCCGAACCCACAACAGGCCCCGGGTGTGTGATGTTCCCCTTCCTGTGTCCAAATGTTCTCATTGTTCATTTCCCACCTATGAGTGAGAACATGCGGTGTTTGGTTTTCTGTTCTTGCAGTAGTTTGCTGAGAATGATGGTTTCCAGCTGCATCCATGTCCCTACAAAGGACATGAACTCATCCTTTTTTATGGCTGCGTAGTATTCCATGGTGTATATGTGCCACATTTTCTTAATCCAGTCTATCACTGATGGACATTTGGGTTGATTCCAAGTCTTTGCTATTGTGAATAGTGATGCAATAAACATACGTGTGCATGTGTCTTATAGCAGCATGATTTATAATCCTTTGGGTATATACCCAGTAATGGGATGACTGGGTCAAATGGTATTTCTAGTTCTAGATCCTTGAGGAATCATCACACTGTCTTCCACAATGGTTGAACTAGTTTACAGTCCCACCAACAGTGTAAAAGCATTCCTCTTTCTCCACATCCTCTCCAGCACCTGTTGTTGCCTGATTTTTTAATGATCGCCATTCTAACTGGTGTGAGATGGTATCTCATTGTGGTTTTGATTTGCATTTCTCTGATGGCTAGTGATGATGAGCATTTTTTCATGTGTCTGTTGGCTGCATAAATGTCTTCTTTTGAGAAGTGTCTGTTCATATCCTTTGCCCACTTTTTGATGGGGTTGTTTGGTTTTTTCTTATAAAAAAAAATATGGAACGCTTCACAAATTTGCGTGTCATCTTTGCGCAGGGGCCATGCTAATATTCTCTGTATTGTTCCAATTTTAGTATATGTGCTGCCGTAGTGAGTATGACAGATGTTATTTCTGATACTATCATCATCATCATAATTATGTTTGAAGACAAACAGACCTTCTAAACCCTTATGTGTTGCTGGTGGGAGTGTATGATTTTACAAATACCTGGTAATTTGACAATTTCTTAAAAAGTTTAATGTATGTTTGCCCTATGACCCACCAGTCTCTTTTTTTGGAATCTACCTAAGAGACATAAAAACATATGTCCTCACAAATCTGTGTTCAAGGGTTCAGAACAGCCTTAGCCTCAGTAGGCCAAAACTGAAAATCCGAATATCTTTCAACTAGTAAATGAATAAACAAAATTTTACTACATCCAGGCAAGGCAATATCATTCAACAATAAAAGGGGACAAAAGTAAACTTATCTGGCAGGGGAGCTACCATGAACATCAGGGTAGTTTTCACAAGGCAAATTTCAACCCTTGCACTCTGGATGATGAGACATTACTTAGTGGGTACAATGCGTGTGATTGGAGTGATGGATACTGTGGGACACCGACTTCACCACTATGCAATCGATGCAGGTAACAAAGTTACACTTGTACCTTATGTACTTAAATTTACACAAATGAAAAAAGACAAGAAGAAATGAAAACAAACAAAATGATGATACATACTGCAAAACTTGTGAACTTCAATAATGTTAACTAAGTGAAGGAAATTGGACATAAAGATTACATGTTGTATGATTTCATTTACTTGAAATATCTAGAAAAGGTAAATTTATAGACACAAAAAGCAGATCATTGGGTGTGGAACCTTCCTATAAATAGGGAAATTTTGGACATGGCAGAAATGTTCTAAAACTGGATTATTGTGATAATTGCACAAATCGATTAATTTACTCAAATCATTACATTTTACATATACAATGAGCAAATTTTGTAGTATGGAAATTATGCTTTAGTAAACCTGTTAAAATAATTCTTTTTTAAAATGTAAGGCTTCATAGGCAAGACAAAATCCGGAAGACACAAATGAAAAAATATTTGAAGAAAATTACTGGTTTCTTTGCATGAAGAAAATAACAAAATTAAAAGAAGTATATGACGCAGAGGAAAAATTTTGATCACGTAAGGCAGACAATGACTAACTTTCTTAGGAAAAATTGTTAACTAATCAATAAATAAATTCTTGGAAATGCCATAAATAATTGGGCAAAGGATATAGACTCACTATAGAAGAGAATATTCTCATAGTTGATAAATATAAATATTTGCTCAAACTCACCAATGAACAGAAAAATCCAAATTCCAACAGCAATGTAATAAACTATTTCTCCCACTCCAAAATTGGCAAGTACAATAGTTTGTTTTAAAATCAGGGATTTAGAAGATTCTAAGGGAATAAGCTGTCTCATATTATTAGGATCTTGAGTTATGGTAGTGTAGTAATACCTATTAAAACTCAAAATACAATTGTTACATGCTGATGAAAACAGCAAAATCCCGTTCTAAATATCTGTCTTAAAAAACACTCCTACATGAGCCCAAGGAGACATAAAATTGGTCTCTTGTTGAGCCACGATTTGGAATAACAAAAACATTTCCAAATTCAAAAAGAAAAAACTGATTAATTTGTCTCGATTATAAAAATTGTGTACATCCTAAAATCTATGCAGTATGTGAAGTGACAGCACACTGCAGGATGACATTTGGTGCTGTGTGGGGCACTGTGAGCATAGACTGGTGTAACCCTGTGAGTAGTTTGGATAATACAGTATTTCCGCTCTAGGTTGTTACAGTCTCCATAAATTCTTCCTCATATGTCCATGATGACATATAAAAAAAGTAACAGGGGAGAAAAGAAACATTCTCTACATTTAAATAGAAGAAAGATAAACTGTGGAATACCCATAGAAAGGACTTCAAGTAAATTCAGGCCTTTAAGTAAATTATGTAGGACTATCAACATGGAGTGGAAAAAAATCATAAACCATAATGCCAGTTAGGAGGTGGAAAATTACAAGAATTGTCACTGTTACTATAAGAGCAAAAAGATACATAGACTAAACTAAATGGATAAACTGGAAAATAATCTTACTTTTAAAATTTTAACCAGCCATGCATCAAAAAGTATAAAAATTCCAAATTCCAGAGATGAATGAATTCCACTTAGGTGAGCAGGGACTAGTGTCCACTCTTATTCTTTGCTCATCTACTGAATCTTAACATGGGTGGAAGATTGAGCCTGGCTGGGAAAGGGAGATTGTGAGGGAGTGAGGACAAATCAGCTGAGTTGTAAATAGCCCTGTGGGCTTGTGTGATGCATTACAATCTATAGAGGCCCCTTGAATAATATATATCTACTTTACTCTGCCAGCTGATTCTCCTTCCAGAACTTTTTCTGACTTCATGCTGGTGGTGTGGGAACTAGGGAAGTAGATAGAAGAAAACAAACCTCTCTGTAGCTTCATACAAACAAAGATCAGGGAGGAAATCAAGATAGAAACAACACTTTCAACCATCTTGACTTAGCTGTCATTTGTAATTGACATAAATTGACAACATCGGACAACTACAGAATATTTATTTATTTACATTGCACAAAGATAATCCATGAACTAGAACAAATACTATGACTATAAAACTAGTATCAAGTACTTTTACAAGAATAAAATCATAAAGAGTATGTTCTCTAAACACAATCTTACCAAATTACAAATTAGTAAGATTGAGAAAACTGCCCAAATTTTTGGAATTAAAATAATACATTTCTAAATAATCTGTGGCTTGTCAAAGAGAAAATCAGAAGGAAATTAGAAAATAATTTTAAATAAAATAACACTGAAATGAATTTTAAAAACTTTTGAGATGTAACCAAGGCAGTCCTTAGAGAAAAATATTTAGTTTTAAATGCCTGTATTTTAAAAGGATAAATATGTAAAAATCAAAGGTGTAAACTTTTAACTTAATAATAAAAAAGCAAATTTAAGTTGAAGAAAGTAGAGGAAAAAAGCAAAGAGGTGAGGAAATCGATAACATTATTTTCTTGGTTTTGTTTTCTATTTGTTTATGATAGAGCATAATTATGTTAGTCCATTCTTACATTGCCAGAAAGAAATACCTGAGGCTGGGTAATTCATAAAGAAAAGAGGTTTAACTGACTCAGGGTTCTGCAGGCTCCATAGGAGGTGTGGTGCTGGCAACTGCTTCTGGTGAGGGCCTCAGGAAGCTAACAAACCTGGGGGAAGGAAAGGGGAGCCCGGGTATCACATGGTGAGAGCAGGAGCACAGAGAAAGTGGGGAAGAGTCTGACTCCTTTAAACAAGATCTTGTGTGAACTGAGCGACAACTCACGAATTACAGCTAGGATGGCAACAAGCCATTGATGAAGGATCTGCCTCCCGACCAAAATACCTCTCACCAGGCCTCACCTCCAACAATGGAGGTTACATTTTAACA